TCACAGGGACTTGCTAAAGTATTGTAACAACTACATTGGAAAGCTTTTTACAAAGGGCTACACTGAAAACATGCTTTTACTGCCTTGTTCAGCCTTGAGGTACAGAAATCAAAATGGAGAAGAGTAGATGAATGGTTGGTTGGTTTGGTTTCTCCTTGTTTGTTTGGGTTTTTTTTTGTCTTGAAAGTTTTAAATTTTTTTTTTACTTTCTTTTGTTTTGTGTTTCTGAAGCTTGTTTTAAAACTGGCAACACAACCTGAAATATACTATCATGTATTCTTTATCTCTTTAAGGCTTGGGGAACAAATGAAATTCTTGCTACAGTTCGCTATTTCATTTTAGAAACAGTTAATGACCTTTATTCTTTCCCTTCCTCCTCTGCTTAGAAACAGGTAGGAATGAGTACTTTGGATGTACAGGTTTAATTAGTAAAGTTATAGAAATTATTTTCTTTTGACAGCAAAATCAATTCCTCTGGGGAATGATATTTGAATATTTGCACTCAGTATCTTCAGCTTGCATTAAGATTAAGCAAAACCAGAACAACCTATCAGGAGTTTGCCAAATACGTTTGTTTATTAAAAATTCATTGTATGTGTTCTAAATGTTAAAATTATCTCATGTGTTAATGCTTCTATATGTTTAATCTGGGAAACACTTATTACTGCTGCTGGTAATTTTGCTTACATCAATTTGCATAAGGCTTTATTACATACATCTAGGTAGCATCCAAAGTTGTTTGTGCAAAACCAGTTGTTATCTGGGTTACTAAACTCTATAAAATACCATTTGAGACCTTTTCCTATTTTTTTATTTTCTTCTCCAAGGAATAGTAATTTTCATGGCAGATGATTAGAATACAGAGATTGTATTGTAATATGAAAATAAATTTTTTTTTAGAAAGTAATTCTAGAGTTCAAAATTTTCCAACTGTTTTTTTCATTTGAATACATTAAAAGTTGTCAAAATATACACCCTTGCAGAACATACAAATTTCAGAAGAAACAATGATATTTAAAAGGCTTCATGCAAAACAGGGCACATGCTTGCAAAGCACAAATGAGATGTGAACATTTAAATGCAGTTATGTCTTACATACAGTTGTTCACTATTGACTCAGTGCTACTTTATTGCATAGTATCTGGTTATGCAGCAACTTATGTTATGCATCAGACTAATACAAATAAAAAAATGTAATGCAAAATACAGTCTATATCTCTGGGATAAACATAATTCCAGATTGAAGCCGTCAGTTTTATGCTAGTGCTAAGCCTATAGTCATGCATTTGGAAGGTTTTGGCTATTCACATAAAAATACAGCAATATTTTGTCAGAAGTCACACATCATTCTCAAGGATGTATATTTCCTTAAGTTATTGATATTTAGTTCCATGGCAAATCGATAGTTATTCAGAAGTACATGGTGAACTGGTATGTTCAAACATACAGAAGATATATGTTTTTCAAATTAACAACTAAGATGCAATAAATCAAGAAATATTGAAGTTATGTCTTTTTCTGTATTTTAATTATCTGTAAAAGTCAGCACAGCTACCACATGAATTGATAAGCTTTATGTGGGATTTAGGGCATACAAGGTCCTAAAGTCAGATCTACTGTTGTTTTGGGTAGAGAGAGTTCAAGGATTTGATCAGAGGTGGGAAAATCCACAGTTCTGCTTTGCTGGAGATTATATTAAAATGTCCTTCTTCTACCAGAATCTTTATCTGTCTTTTTTTTTTTCCTTCTGACACTGTTACATATAAATGCTGTATTAAATATACACTGAATTAGTGCTTATATAGCTTCCCTGAGGAGAGCAGGGTCACCATCCTGCCTCCATCCAAAGCAGCTAGCTGGAGAAGAGCCAGAGGTTCCAAACCATTGCTGGGTGAAGCAGCTGTCTTTTCAGTTTACAGTAAAATCTCCATTATGAACTTATTTGAAGGTAGCCAAGAGAGAATTATTGATACAACAGCTCACTTCTTTTAACATAAAGCATTTCGAGTGGCTTTCAGTAACTCACTAATAGAAGGATCTCAGCACTATCCTGGTATGATCTATGTGGCACTGCTACTACTTGCTGATTACTTATTCAGTGTTTTGTTGTCAGTTTGCCACAAGTCTAACTCACAGGGAGAAAAGATTGCTTCCTTCCTGCTTCAAAATTCTCCAGTCTTTTTTTATGATATTGTAAAATCAGGGTGAAATTCAATCAGCAGAGTAATATCTGGTTGTCAGAATGGTCTGAGACACATAAGAAGAGCTTGAACAAAATTGCATCCAATAATAGAAAACCATATAAATAAATATGAATCTTTTCTTGCTTCTTTTGGAAATTTTCATAATATCATGTGGACAGAAAAGATTGCTCATTCAGTACATAATACTGAAACGTATACTTTTTTAAGAAACTTCATCCACTCTTCAAAGGTTGCCTGTTAGATTCATAGGAAAAATCAGGTTGGAAAGGACCTCAGCAGGTCTTTAATCCCACCTCTTGCTCAAAACAACATCAGTTGTGAGATCAAACCATGTTGCTGAGGGCTTTGTTCAGTCTGGTCTTGAAAACCACCAAGGATGGACACCACATAACTTTCTAAGCAATCTGTTCACTGTCCTCACCATGAAAAAGGTTTTCCTTATATCCAGCCTGGGTTTTGGGGGTGTTTTGCCTATTGCTTCTCCTCCTCTCAGAAGACATGCTATCAAAAGCCTGGCTCCATCTTCTTGATGGCCTTCTCATAGGTGCCAGAAAGCTACTGGGTTTCTTATCTGTCTTCTTGTCTTCATGAAAGCATTTATTGCTTCAATAATGTTTCAATGGCCCCAGATGAATGAAGTTACTTGTTTTAATAATCTCTCTTCATGTAATTTCTAGATTAATTTGAAATAACCCAAGCATTTACCACACTGGAAAAGTAAGTGCCACATTTATAATGGTCTTGACTCCTACCTAAGGCACCAATAAAACAATACATACAACATGTTTGGTATCTCTACATAGAATTTGTTTGTCTTTTCAAAGTCCATTTTTAATAAGTATATCAATCGAACTTCTGGGTTTAGATTATTTCATACGAATAATTTTTATTGTTGCTTAAATCAATGTTAAATGATCTTTTTCTAATATTTCTTTTCTGTTTTACTTCCTTCAATGTTTGGTTTGAAACCTCACCAATAAGGCAAGCAATGTAAACTAGGTATTTATAATAGTTACTATCCATGCCTTGGTTTGACACCATGACAATAAAATTGAAGACTTTCAACTAAGACTTTGTTTTCCCTTTCCTTGAGTGAAATCCCATGGGCTGCACCTGATTTTTTTATAAAGATTATCTTCTGTTCATTCTTTTGGACAGCTGAGGTGTTTCATTTTATAAAAACCTTGAACTAAACAAATACTTGTATTTGTGGTCCAACAGTGGGTTTCCCAAATGTATTTGTACAGATAAACAACATAAACAACAAGGTCTACCTTAATAAAATAACTGGAGAATTCAATGATACTTTTTTTTTTTTTTCCCCGTGGAATCTGTCTGAGAATAATACTGTTGAAATCTTGGAATTCCTATATCTTTTATCTGAAAATGCTTCATGTTTTCACCTATGTGACTGTAAGTCAGGAAGTCAAAATGGTTGGTTTGAATTTGGAGTGAGAATAAACCAAAAGCAGAAAATTGCCAGATGGCAGTCTCATGAAGAAATGCAATGTAACTGATATTTATATTTAACACAGTTCTAAAAGAATTTCCTTGACTCTTCTTTGAAATGCAGGTGTTAGAAGTCATTCAAGGAGCAAAGCAAATTCAAAACAATTCAGTATTTCCATGTACTAACTGTTCAGGCTGGAATGCATAACCTGTGGAAGAATTGGTTCCTGGATCTTTGCATGAAGTTTGTCGTCAGTTTTGTACAAAGACATTTCTTCCAGAAAAACTAATCAAAAATTCACTCTACATCAGAAGTTTGAGAATGACAGGATCAGCTAAGATTTCTTTCAACCATTTAATTACTTATTTTAGAAACAGCTTATTTGTGTCTAACTAAATTATACTCTTACTGATCACAATGGCATTTTTTCTGGCTTTTGAAATGCAGAGTGAGGAAATCATGTTGGTTATTTTTGACCTATCTATCTTTTATTTATCATCTACCAGTGTTTAAGAATTGTTAGGGACTCTAACAACAATCAGTGAAGCAAGGGAAGAACCCTGAATCCTTTGATTTGCTCCAGGTAATACATGTAAAGTGGTTAATTATCTTGATTGTAGACCAGGATGTCATTTTGGTGTCTATCCTTTCCAGAACAGCTCAGATTTTATTTGGGAAAAGCTGAATCTTATGCATATTACATATATATCTAATCTTACAGGACCACTGAAGGAAGATAGAAGTGAAGGAATAATCAAGGAGGTCATGTTTAGCCCTAAATTCGAAATATGCTTTGTGAGAATTTATTCATTAGTTTTGAGACCAAACGCACTCTTAATTTTAACATCTGCAGGGGGCACTGGAACAGCAGGATCTCGGAGTAAGTCAGCTTCCAAGTTCAGCTACTACCAAGTTTTTGCTTTCAGCATTTTTTATTTCTAATATTTGTGAACTCAGGTTTTGTTTATATTTTTAATCAGACGAACATTAAAAGAGCAGCAAGAGCAGTTAGATTAGACAACGTGTTCTTTCATTCTGTCATCAAAAGCAACCTGCTAGCATTGTTATTTCAGCATATTGGATATTATGTCTTTTTACCTGAAAGCTGAATTTCATTTCTGATGTGGTAAGCCATGCTCCTTCTTCCAGTTTCAAAACTCACTCAGAAATCATAAGTCTTCAACTTGCGTCCAAATGTATATATTTGAGGGGTTTTTTTCATGTGGCAAGACATAATTTCTGGGCTACTGCACAAAATACTGTTTTGTTTTTTTCCAATGCTGCAACCTGAAACCAAGGGAAATAAAAACAACCAAGCAATCCAACAAAAAAAAAAACCCAAAACACAACAACTTTGGAAACAGAATATTGATGATTTCTACAACTTGAAATCTACAGGTACATACTTCTGTAGCTTTTTCATGGGAGTAAATATGGCAGTATCAGCTACTTCAGATTGTTGTCTTTCACATTATCAGAGCACACTGCTTAATTGTATGGAACTGTGCATGTTTATGAAAGTACTTTCTTAAACCTGTGCTTTATCTGTAAGGTCATTCAGCTATAAAGTGGTTCAATTGTAACTGTATGTTTACTCTGCAGTTTCTTGTACACATGCAGTTGATTTCTTTTCTATTTTTTGCATCTTTCTGCAAAAACACTGCTTTCTACGTCAGTCCCAGGACACATCACATATTCCGTGTGTCTGTTGAAGTTCTCTCCAGCTGTTCATTATAGTATCCATTAATTGATTTTTTTGTTTGCCTTTATTTTATGCTTTTCAAATAACAGTTGTGGTAGAGATGATAACACCTTCTCGGAAAGTTGGTTAGAAAACATTTCACTTGGCCAACCAAATAAGATACACCTTTAATGTTGAAGTAGTTTAAATAAGAGCACCTGAAGTATAGAAGTAAGCACACTTTGACAGTTTTAGTGACTCAATTCACAACATTCTCAGAAAATTAAGTGAAAAACAATCTGAATACTAAGTAAAGAAGGGACATTTGTATCCAGAAGATTTTAACAGGAAGAGAATTTAATAATAAAATTGCAGCCCTAACCACATGGCCTTCTTGCTCTGTGTGTTTGTTTTCTTTTAGAAGCAGTGTAACATAGATGACACTTGCCATAAAGCTCTTCCTACAGAAAAATATGCAAGCCCAGCTTATTTCCAGTGCATGATAATAATTAAAGCTTCAATGAGTGAACCTCTGATATTTTTTTGGCTAGCAATTAACCCTAATCCCTCCTTCTCTCTTATGCATTTGGATCTAAATAACAATAGGGAGACTGAAAGCAGTAGGCATGAGTGGCTCATTCCCTAACTCTGTGGACTAAAGGCTGGAATAACCTGACAAAGAATTCAGGAGAGGGAGGCAAGGTGGTGAGCGGACTGATCTTATAAGGGTTAGAAAGGAAAGAGAAGGTCTATCTTGTGACCAGGCTGAATTCAGGATGTTTGTGATCTTCATCATGCGGCTTTCACTGGTGCCAGCAATGTTTGTATGGTGCAGATGTCAGCTATCGAGTTTTCCATTTATTCAGCTCCATACTTTCCTTTGTTCTGGGGAGTCTGCTGTGTGTTCTATGCCTTGTTCAGAGTGCCCCTCAACCTGGCTTTTCTTAATCAGCTGGGGAAAGGCCTCAGTGCTCACCTGATTACCTTGGAAAGACGGATGCAAAACCCAGGCCATGCCCAGGTACAGTGTCAACCTACCCTTTATTTCCACTGTTTTAAAATTAATTAAATTTCTCCTCTCAGATAGAGAGTTTATAGTGTTTTCTTGTAAAGAAGTCTAGTGTTTAGAGTAAGGGTTTACTCGTTGAGACTTAAAGAGTCTATCTGTGACTCTATATTCATATGACTCTGGGTAAGACACTCAACCAGTTTTACTTCAGCTTTCCAGCCTGCAGAGCAATACCAGTCTCAGTGGCCTTATGTCAGGCTTCATGCAACTGAGATACTTGGATGAAAGCTGTTTTAATAAGGGAAACCCACTGTGATTCACATTCTTATTAAGTCATAAATGCTCTCCATTTATTTTGGATAGAGAAAAGATGTGGAGGGATAAAATTTGCCTGTTAGTCTCATTTTGCAGAGGCCTCCATGTTCTGTAAAAAATTCTCCAGGGCAGTAGATGGGAACCTGGGTGTGTGAATCCTGGGTATCCTTGAGTAGCAGACATCCTGGGACAGTAACCTATTAATACTGAGCAGAGACTGGGAGCAGCAGAGCCAGCAGCATGCCCCTCCGCACCATACAGAACCAGCAGATTACCCAGACTTCGCTGCTGGTACTGGGTATCTCTTTTACCTCCTCCTGGGTGCTGTGGTGTTCCATCTGCTGGAGAAGCAGTCAGGGATCCACTTTCGGGACCAGTTTCAGCTGGAGAAGCTCAAGTTCCTGCAGAACTACACATGCTTGGACAGGCAAGCTCTGGAGGTAAGGGAAAGGTAAGGGAAACACGCTCCCATTATTTTGGTTCCAGCGTTATTTTGGTTAGAAGAAATTATACTGTTGTGGCCACGCATGTGATAAGTTGATCTGCTGTTCATGACATTAAAGGACTAACTGTACAAGAGAATGGCAGAGGTTTCTCAAGCCCATTCACCTATCTCTTAATCTTGATCAATTTCACTTCTTTTCCCAGTCATGAACTCCCAAAATATGCAAATATACTTAAGAACCTTCCTACTACTTTCCAATAATTTCAGCTTCAATGTTTTCGTCTCCCTTGTTAAGTATTACATGGGAATCATGCATGAGGACAAAAAACAAGAATCAAACCTACAAGAAGTAAGTCACCCTTTCAAGGTTCTCCAGTCCAAACCCATGCAAATTCTGCCCTTCTTTTGTACTAGGAATTTTCTCCTGCCTTTGAAGGTGGTCCTGCACTCCCAGGCCTCTAAAGATAACATAAAGCCAACCACCATGAACTGTGTTATCTTTCACTTATAATAAGATACAAAGGGCTCTTGTTCAATATGGGTTGTCAATTTATGACAACTTCAATTACACTTTATTCCTCAAAGTTGGCTGGAGATGATACACTAGACCTTTCTTGGTATTATAATAAACATATTTTCATTCCAGTATTGCAAAAACTGGTCAGAAATTCTTGAATTACTGCTTTTGTTGTGTTCAAAGTATATCCAGTTGCAGAGCTGGGTGCCTAAACAGTTTGAACTCTTTCTACCATGTCGTTAAACTTGATAGAAACTCTAAGGAAGTAGGCTGCAGGTTTGCACTGAGTCAGAGGACTTCCACAGAGAGATACGCTTTTGATCAATAAAAAGACCAGATTCTGTAAATAGATTTAAGCAAACAGTGAAGTTCAGATCAGAAAGTGAAGAGAAGGTCTGAACCTCTGCCTACAAGGACTATGTTCTGATTACTAATACTGTGATATATTTCTTGTGGAACATCTGGTATTGTCCAGAAAATTACTAGTTTTCAAGAGCTTACATACATAAAAAGATGCCTGATTTTTTCAGCTTCAGCAGCTACTGATATTACCTACTGATATTATCTCCTTATCACTGGGATAATGACTGTAGAGCAGAAAATCCTGATTCTCATTCTAAACCAAATTGGCATATTTCATAGGATTGGAAGGTTTAGTTAAGTATACTAGAAGCCTCAGAATGGGTTCACACATGTTCAGATTCTCCTCTCTCTGGCTCCAGTAGACCTTCCTTAGCACTGCCATGCCACTCAGAGAATCATGGGGATTTTTTGCGTCTCTGTGGAATTAGATATAATTATTTCATTTGTGAGTTATTCCAGACAAAACCGGCTGAGGGCACCAAATTATCGTCTACAATGTACCAAGCTTTGAAGTACTTAGATGTGATAGCTCTCAACGTAAATGTTAAGTGCAAGGTGCCCTCTGATTCTCATAAGAAATTGTCCATCCCTTACCAATAGTAGAGACTAGATGTCTTTCCATATTAAATCTATAACTCTAATTCAGGAAAGCAATCATATCTCTGTATGATTTAACTGTATGGTTTAACAGGCCTGTTCATCATGTCAGAAGTTCCAGTCTGAAAAGTCACGGTATAGAGGCTGTGGTGAAACAGACACTAGATTCAGTCTGCTCAGCTGACAATGGTATGGTGTTGGCAGAGGATAACCAGTCTCCTTCAGAGAGATCCTGGGGGAGAGCAATGAAACACAAGGCAGCTGACAAGACATTTGATGCATAAATAAGAGCAGCATTTCTTTTGCAGATAGTAGTTTTTGTCATCTGGTAAGAGCTATCGGGAATAGCAGAGAATATTCATTAGCTAATCTTTCATACTAGGAGAAGTCTAAGGTTCGTTGAAAATTGCTGCAGTCATAGCCAAAAATAGCAATTCCTACTCTCTAGTACTTACATGGAGGAAACACAAATGAGTATGTTCCCCATCCCCCTTCCCACAGACACAATGATACATTTACCTGTGTCCAAATTAAAAACTGCAGATTTCTATCGAGATGACTAGACTTGGAAAGAAGAAGAACTGCCTTTATATTTTTTTTTTGGTATAACTTCACTTTATTTTCCCAGTTTGATCACTTTGGTGTCTCTCTCCACTCCATTTCCCTTAGCCTTCAACTACTTACGGAACCTGTGCTCCTTGTCACTTCTCCAGTGACAAGAATTCAAGATTCTGGTCAGTTCTATTTCCAACTTTTGCCATGTCAGCACAAGGCTATTTTAACTAAATCTACCCTGTTATCTACACTGTTTATTGCTCTGTTTGCTCAAGATGGAAAGCAGCATTTACTTCCTTCTTTTCTGACCTTCTTTATTTGATCTAATGGGTTGCTCACCTTTGATTCTTTCACCTCTTCTGCCTCAGGTCCTTATGGAAGCATGGGTAAAAGGGGTCAACCCAGAAGGAAATTCTACAGATCCTGGTAACTGGGACTTCAGCAACTCCTTCTTTTTTGCGGGAGCTGTTATCATTGTCGTGGTTTAACCCACAGCCAGACAGCTTGTTACCCACTCCCCCCCCTTCTTGCCCTCCCCCTACTCCTGGGGGAACGGAGAGGAGAATCAAAAAGAAATGCAACTCCCACGGGTTGAGATAAGAACAGTTTAGTAACTAAGGTACAATACGAATCACCACTGCTACCACCAACGACAACAATGATAAGAGAAAACAGCAAAGGAAAGGAGTACAATACCACGCGCCGAACCACCAGTCCGACCCGGCCGACCCCCTCTCCTTCCGGGTCCCCCCCCAGTTTTCCCCTCGGCATGACGTGCTGTGGTATGGAATACCTCTTTGGTCAGTTTGGGTCAGGTGTCCTGTCTTTGCTTCCTCCCGGCCTCCCCTCCTCCCTGGCAGAGCATGAGACTCACAAAGTCCTTGGCCAAACCAAAACATCACCTCTATCAGCTTTGTTCCCAGCCCGAAAGTCAAAACACAGCACTGCACCAGCTACCAAGAAGGAGAAAAAACGACTGCTGCTGCTAAACCCAGGACATTATCCACCCCTTATTCCATACCATTCACGTCATGCTCAGATCCTACATTTTCAATATACCATCACTCCGATCTCAGTGCACTTCTATCTTAGTGCAAAGACTAGTCCCTATAAAGCTGCTGATTCCATCTGGTCCATGATGTCAGGCGCCATCTCTTGTAACAGTCTTTCAGAACAGGAGAGGCCGTGTGCAGTATTGGGTCGTTGCCTGCTGATGCTGATCATTCCCTTACTGTAGAACTTGTCTGGTTCTGTCAAAGTTCGTTCTCTCTTGGGATGATGGTTGAAGGGAAGTCAGGGCTAGTTGCTGGTGGCCTGAAGACATCTGGTTGATGGGCTATTAAAGTATTACACAGCAGGCAACAACATACAATTAAGTTCATTGGCTGTTTTCCCCTAAAATTAAATCCCCTTGAGGTACACATTGGACTTCCCCATCATCCTGCATTACCCACCAAGTGTATCCAGGTCCCTGAGCAAAAGCAATCCCACGAGTGGGTTTGCCTTTACTTGAAGCATGAATAACCCAGACTGTCTTCCCCAGCAAATTCTTCATATGCACCACAGGAACTTTGTCCCCCTCTACAATATGTAAAAGTTCCGATTGGGCTGGGCCAGCTCTGTTGGCAGATCCTCTAGTGTTGACCAACCAGGTGGCCTTTGGTAAGTGTGTATCCCAGTGCTTGAAAGTTCCCCCACCCATTGCTCTCAGTGTAGTTTTTAACAGCCCATTGTACCTTTCGATTTTCCCAGAGGCTGGTGCATGGTAGGGGATGTGATATACCCACTCAATGCCATGCTCTTTGGCCCAAGTGTCTACAAGGTTATTCCGGAAATGAGTCCCGTTGTCTGACTCAATTCTCTCTGGGGTGCCGTGTTGCCACAAAATGTGTTTCTCAAGGCCCAGGATAGTGTTCTGGGCAGTGGCGTGGGGCACAGCGTACGTTTCCAGCCATCCGGTGGTTGCTTCCACCATGGTAAGCACATGACGCTTACCTTGGTGGGTTGGTGGCAGTGTGATATAATCAATCTGCCAGGCCTCCCCATATTTATACTTCAGCCATCGTCCTCCATACCAAAGAGGTTTTAACCGTTTGGCTTGTTTAATGGCAGCACATGTTTCACACTCATGAATAACCTGGGCAATAGTGTCCATTGTTAAGTCCACCCCTCGATCACGGGCCCATCTATATGTTGCATCTCTGCCCTGATGGCTTGAAGTGTCATGGGCCCACCGGGCCAAAAATAATTCACTTTTATGTTGCCAATCTAAGTCCATCTGAGCCACTTCAATCTTAGCAGCTTTATCCACTTGTTGGTTGTTCTGGTGTTCCTCAGTGGCCCGACTCTTGGGTACATGGGCATCTACATGACGTACCTTCACCACCAGGTTTTGCACCCGGGCAGCAATATCTTTCCACAGTGCAGCAGCCCAGATAGGTTTACCTCTGCGTTGCCAGTTGCTCTGCTTCCATTGCTGCAACCACCCCCACAGGGCATTTGCCACCATCCATGAGTCAGTATAGAGATAAAGTACTGGCCACTTTTCTCGTTCAGCAATGTCCAGGGCCAGCTGGATGGCTTTCACCTCAGCAAACTGACTCGATTCACCCTCTCCTTCAGCAGTTTCTGCAACTTGTCGTCGAGGATTCCATACAGCTGCCTTCCATCTCCGATGTTTTCCCACAATACGGCAGGACCCATCAGTAAACAAGGCATACTGCTTTTCACTTTCTGACAGCTGATTATATGGTGGGGCCTCTTCAGCACGCATCACCTCCTCCTCTGGTGACATCCCAAAATCTTTGCCCTCTGGCCAGTCCATGATGACTTCTAGAATGCCTGGACGACTGGGATTTCCTATTCGAGCTCGTTGCGTAATTAGTGCAGCCCATTTACTCCATGTAGCATCAGTTGCATGATGCGTAGAGGAGACCCTGCCTTTGAACATCCAGCCTAGCACGGGCAACCGGGGTGCCAGGAGGAGCTGTGCTTCGGTGCCAATCACTTCCGAAGCAGCTCGAACCCCTTCATAGGCTGCCAGTATCTCTTTCTCAGTTGGGGTATAGCTTGCCTCAGATCCTCTGTATCCCCGACTCCAAAAACCAAGGGGTCGACCTCGAATCTCTCCTGGAGCTTTCTGCCAGAGGCTCCAGGTAGGGCCATTCTCCCCAGCTGCGGTGTACAATACATTTTTTACATCTGGCCCAGTCCGAACTGGTCCAAGGGCCACTGCATGAACTATCTCGCGTTTAATTTGCTCAAAGGCTTGTTGTTGCTCAGGTCCCCATTTAAAATCATTCTTCTTACGGGTCACGTAATAGAGAGGGCTTACAATCAAACTGTAATTTGGGATGTGCAGTCTCCAGAACCCCACTGCACCCAAGAAAGCTTGTGTTTCTTTCTTATTAGTTGGTGGAGACATTGCTGTTATCTTGTTGATTACATCTGTGGGGATCTGTCTACGTCCATCTTGCCATTTTATTCCCAGAAATTGAATCTCCTGTGCAGGTCCCTTGACCTTACTTCGTTTTATGGCAAAACCGGCTTTCAGCAGGATTTGGATTATTTTCCTCCCTTTCTCAAAGACTTCTTCTGCTGTATCGCCCCACACTATAATGTCATCAATGTATTGCAGGTGTTCTGGCGCTTGCCCCTGTTCCAGTGCAGTCTGAATCAGTCCATGGCAAATGGTAGGGCTATGTTTCCAGCCCTGGGGCAGTCGGTTCCAAGTGAACTGGACACCCCTCCAAGTAAAAGCAAACTGTGGCCTGCACTCTGTTGCCAAAGGAATTGAGAAAAATGCATTGGCAATATCAATCGTGGCATACCACTTGGCTGCCTTTGACTCCAGTTCATACTGAAGTTCTAGCATGTCTGGTACGGCAGCACTCAAGGGTGGTGTGACTTCATTCAGGCCACGATAGTCTATTGTTAGTCTCCACTCTCCATTAGACTTTCGCACTGGCCATATGGTGCTATTAAAGGGCGAGCGGGTCCTGCTGATCACTCCCTGACTCTCCAGTCTACGGATCAGCTGATGGATAGGAATCAGGGAGTCTCGGTTGGTGCGATATTGCCGCCGGTGCACTGTTGTGGTTGCAATTGGCACTTGTTGTTCTTCGACTTTCAGCAGCCCCACAACAGAAGGATCCTCTGAGAGACCAGGATAAGCCTACAGCACCCGGGATTCCCAGGCGGTCTCCCATCCAAGTACTAACCGAGCCCGACCCTGCTTAGCTTCCGAGATCAGATGAGATCGGGCGTTTTCAGGGTGGTGTGGCCGTAGGCTTATCCTGGTCTCACTATAGGTTAGGTACTCTCTTTCCTTACAAATTGGGTTTCCTACAGCTATCCTGTAAATCCCCCAGAAATGTGCAACTAGTGGATAGAAAACACCTGCAAGACAATCTTGACTATTGTGGGTTACAGTTTTCTATTGTTTCCCAATTGTACCTGTTATTCAGATATATTCAGCATACCACACCTGCAAAAAACAGCTGAGTGCCTACTTGATACATGTGATACCATTTTGTACATGCACAGCACATATTGAGGTTTCTTTGAAACACTCAATTGCACTCACCACAAAATCAGAGACCCATAGAAATATACAATACTCTTTATGAGTAATGTTTTTCACATTAAATTTTCTGTTAATCACAGTGAATGCACAGGGCTCCATCAGAAGCTATGGCAATTTGTAAGTGGGATTTAATTGCAGAAAATCATAGGTCCACAGGTTCCTGAAGTTTAATGCAGCTGAACTTCCAAGCCTAGGAACAACCCAGGATGACCTGCAGCCTGACTGTAATGCCTTTTCATGTAGCTCTTATTTTTTTCCAGGTTATGGTACCCTGTCTCCCAGCACAGTGGCAGGGCAGATCTTTTGTGTGTTCTATGCCTTGTTCAGAGTGCCCCTCAACCTGGCTTTTCTTAATCAGCTGGGGAAAGGCCTCAGTGCTCACCTGATTACCTTGGAAAGACAGATGCAAAACCCAGGCCATGCCCAGGTACAGTGTCAACCTACCCTTTATTTCCACTGTTTTAAAATTAATTAAATTTCTCCTCTCAGATAGGCACTGTTGTTGCTAGATTGGGTTTCCCTTATGCATACCTATATTTTTCTGAACCATAACAATTACATGGCCCTCTATATTAGAAAATTGGTACACTCTATTTATCCAGCTTTAAAGCAATTTGATTTTGCTTAAGGGACTCTAGATTTGCCTGTTTAAAACCTGACTCAGCAAAACTGTTAAGCAAGTATCACCTCAATTTTAAGCAAGGTCCTTAACCTTTGGAGACCTCAGCAAAATACATGCACATACACACATTGCTGAATCAAGTTTTTATTATCGATCCTATACTAACATCTATCCAGATTGTAGCTCTACACTGTGCAAAACAAATTTATTTTTATTGGCCTGCTAATCTGGTTTGAATTACCTTCCCTGATTGTGCAAGCCATTTAACACTTCCTTACTTTTCTTTTCTTGAAACGTAAATAAATACTCCTTCTTTCTTATAACTTATTAGTGAGTCACTGAACTAGTCGAGATATATTGGAATAAGGGGAGCACGAGTAACAGAAAATAAATTAAGGTAATTTATAGAAAAGTTAGTGAATGTGTTCGAGTAAAGGTTCAATGAATTGACCCCTTTAGTTAGGGAAAAAGGAGATTAAATATGTTAAATATGTTGAAACATTTCAGAGCTCTGGCACAAGGTTTTTTTTTTCTCTTTTCATTTGTAAAACCTCTGAGTCACTGCCTACACTTGGAAAGCTATAAAGGTAATGTCAAATGCAGATGAGGGTTATATGAGCAAGAAGTTTTTTAGCTGCATAACCTGTCTGCTCTCATGCAGCTCTGCCACCAGGAGGACTTTCATGTTAGTATAGCTGCATCTTTCCTGAGATTCCTCATAGATGTGATTTTTTTTTTTCTTTTCACTCTTGAATTAGCACCTCATTTCTGTCAGAATTCCTATGATCAGAAAATTTTTGGAGCTGTATCTAGTTGTTTACTCTGAAAAGCCTCTTCCAGGAAACTGGGTCATCTCCTTTTGAACAAAACTTAGTCATGTTTTGAGAAATTAATTACAATTGGTTTTTCTTCATTCCTGACTTACTGTCCCCTATGTTACAGGTTTATACCAAAAAGCCAGTGTAAAAAGTAATATTGTGCATTTCAGTATAAATTTTATGAGAAATTTATTATCAAATTAAATGCTATTGTACTTCTGGAATTAATTAAGTGAGAACAGATTTCAACTATAACCATGTTGCTCAGTAATTCTCAAAGTGCTTTGCAAATGAGGTAAGTATAAAAAGCTAGAAAGACATGATACGCAATACAAGAGAGATTTGTCAAAGTCACCCAGTAGGCTCACGCCAAGTTTCTCAAACTCAGCTGACTATACAGAAAGAGGAAGAAAAACATGATACTTGGCCCTTTTTACTGTGTGAATAGTGGTTTGGCTTTTCATCCAGTCACAATAGGCACATACATAGAAAATCATACCCGGGTTTGAATGCTCTTGGGGACATTTTTAAAAGATTGCAATTAGTTTTTATCAGCCCATACATCACTAGTCAGAAGTTCACCAGAGAGTATTCCCTGGAAATCCATGATTGATCTCCAATCCTAAACTCCTAAAATCCCCTGTCATGACCCATGCACTGCCCACTGCCTGTTCTGTGTACCTAGCCACTGCAGCCACATATGCTGAAACTTATCTCCCGGAAGGCAGACATTTGTACTGCGGGACACAGATCTGCGCTGTACTGACAGAAAAAAGTTCTGATCTGAATGCTGCTTAGTCAAAAATAAAAGCAGGCAAGCTGACTTCACTTAGATTTTATTGAAACATATTTTTGGCCCAGCTCCTGCAAGCCACTTTATAAATCTTTGGAAGCAGTCACAGTGAAGAGAACCCTAATTTGTCCTTGACAATCTTTGAATCGTGAGTTATGCAATACCTGCTGATTTTCCCCAAAGACAAGAGCTAACTGATTACGAGATTATCTCCACTTCAATTGAAATTGTAAAGTGAGTATTTCATTCTTGTGGTTGTCACAAGTTTGAAAATATTATTTCAGCATACTTAAAAACTCATTGCAAAAAAGCTTTTAAAAAAATCCTCCTTTTTTTCCTATTTTTGAGATTTTTTTGATTAATGATTAGGTACATTATCTATGTGCAGGGTAAAGAGCGAGGTCAGCCTGCAGTGCATGGAAGCATCGGTTTATCCTTCCTTTTTGGATGTTGCTTACTGCTGGTGCAGGTTTGTGATTCAAGAGCAAAACAGACTCAGCAATTTCCACTAAGCAACTGATCAGTGCTATTTGTCTGCCATCTTCTTGAATTTTTCAGTTGGTTCAGACGCTGGCAGTGGCCATCTTCCTGACCACTGGGACCTTGCTTTTTCTAATATTCCCATCACTGGTCTTCAGTTATGTAGAAGGCTGGAGCTACGGAGAAGGCTTTTACTTCACCTTCATCACCCTCAGCACCACTGGATTTGGAGACTATGTAGCAGGTTATAAAGAAGGTGAACTGGATTGAGTTTTGTTGAAATTAGTTGCTCTAGTATAAAGCTAAATACAGAAAGCATATATACATCCCACTATAAATCTGATAACCTGGTTTAGTGGAAGGTGTCCTTGGCCATGGCAGGGGGACTGGAGCTAAATGATCTTTAAGGTCCCTTCCAACCCAAGCCATTTTATGATTCTATGATAATGTATTATATGACATGGGCATTTTTCCCTTGGCAGTTAAGATGAGACTCACCAAATATGCCACTGGACATATGCCACTGGACACCCATTCAGCAGTGTCTATGCCCAACCTGGTAAGAATGTGATCTATAAGTGACAGGTGGAATATAGGTGAAATCTCTTTGTCAGTATTAGGCTTTTGAACCACCGTCTCCTAACAGTGATATGTTTCAGCAAATACATAGCATTCCCAATCAGAAATCATGTCAAATATGTAATGATCTGTACTTAAAGTGGGGAAAATATTACTTACAACCCCAGAACACCCATGAAAGAAAACAAACCCAGTGAGATTACACAGTCTTTAGAGTCCCTATGTTGAGCCTCTTCTCTAGGCTGAGACACAGAAATAGACACAAGTGAAGGGCTGTTTTTCACCCACTTATTTGAAAAAAATGTTCTTAACAGATTGTGTAGTGTGTTTATTTGTTAAAAACACTAGAGTCTGTTGCTTCACAAGTAGTAACTCTCCTTGGGACATGTAAGCATATCCCAAAAGGAGAGAAATCCCCCACTGAATCTGGGTGCTGTGGAATTTCATGATGATCTGGATGACAGACTAAGTGCATGGCTACAGTGCTGTCCTGTGCCTGTATCATCTGCACTGATTGCTCATGCTGTGGAATTATCAACTCAGGGATTAAGATTCCCATAACCACTTACTTAAAATGGCTGCATTTCCCATATAATATTCTCCAGACAATTTTTTTATCCTGGTTACTGAGGTGTACCATCCTACAAAAAGCAATCACTATATCCCTGAGGTAGGAAACTGTATTTTTCTAAATCATCTAAGACCCCCTGTGTGTTTCTGGAGTACAATATGACTAATATGGATTCAAAATTGGATTTCCAAGTTGTTGGTTTTTTTTCTTTGTCCATGCCTAGGAACACTTGATTTTGTGCATCACTGAATAACATTAGATATAGCTATTTTTATTATATAGCCTCAGCTTCAGAGATTTGATGCCAACTGTGCTAACCTTCACCTGCGATTTGGAACATAAAAAGAAAAAAGGAAAATAAAAATAAAAAGATGCTTATAGATCACACAGTCTTATTAAACTTTTTCAAGGTGTGGAGAATGTATGCATGAGAACTTCTGTTTGGCAGACCTAAGCTGTCAAGACTAATATACATAGTTTCCTGGATTTTTCAGGCACAAACCCCAACAAGCACTATATCCCAGTGTACAGAAGCCTAACTGCAATTTGGATTGGTTTTGGCTTGGCCTGGCTGGCTCAGGTCTTCAACATGGCGGCTGACTTGATGGAAAAATTTCTTCAGCTAAAGTGGTACAAGCCTGACTTAAGCTTGGCAAAAGGAGCCACCACCAAACTGGAAAATGAACCTGAGCAGCATAGAGTCCACATCCCCAGCTGAGCAAGGTACACAGAAAGCAGTCTTAAAAGTATGTCTTTCATCTGTATCTCGCACTAAGCAAGCCATGTGGATAAAGGACTAAACCACAAGTTGTAGACTGTTTCCTAAAGAGCAGATTTCCTAAGGAGGAAATTTCAGATGCATTGAAATTTTCACACACTGTGTAGGTATCAGCCAATTAAACCTCCAAAGAAGTAGCATACATGGTCAAACAACTTTCCTGGGATTCATTTCACACTTTTCGCTCAAGACAGCTTCCTCTGAAGTAATCAGTTATTATCCTTTCTCTTTCTCTAGTGGAATTCAGTTCTTATGGTCATTTGTTTTCAAATAAATCCAGAGTGACTGCCTCCCAGCTCCAACGAGAAGTCATGTCACCAAGAACGGAAGTGAAAAAAGTCAGGTACAGAAATCTTTCTTCATTTCCAATCATAAACCAAACAAAACCACAGAGGAATATCAGCAGTAATGACCACCTGCTAAATGACATTCATCCAATTAAGATTCATTTGATACTGTATGAAATTAACAGCTTTCATATAAAATGATAAAATTTCTTTAGTTTCTGGGCTAAAATGCTTCTCTCTTAAATTGTGCAGAAATCATGTGTCTATCCAGCACTGCCTAGACTGTTACAATCCATTTTGGAGCGAACTGACAGCTCAGTGCAGGTCCTTATCCTTGCTGCAGTTCATTTCACAGCCACTTAACAACAGTACTTTAAATCTAAATGCAAGCAGACTTCCTTTATTTCCAGCCAGATCACAAATATTATTAGAGTCTGGCATTTGCTTTGGGACAGCTCATTATGGAGGTATCATGCATGGAGATTTGATGCTGTCCATTTACCTCTAAATAAGGCTGATGATAGGCTTTTGTGTTAAATCTGGTCTTCAGCCATGCGCAAAGAGTCAACCATGAGAAATGGAGTCTGGATTTGTCACATCTATTGTAAGCTGAACATAGCAGCAGCCATCCCCAAAGAAGCAGTAAAGCCAAAGAAGGACACATAAACACCTTATAAGCAGGCCAGTCACTGAGATATAAAACTGTAGTCATACTATGTATTAAACTCTAGAAACTTGATAAAGCAATTAAGCATTCATTGAGTACCATGCTAGGTAGTTTATAACCATCACTTACATATTCCATGGCTTGTAATTATGTACATACTGCCATTTATTATGTATGTTTATAACTCACAGTAACCATCAGTTAATCCTTTTAAACTCATTTATAACCGGAACCTTGTGACTGAATTACTACTAGGCAATGTAGCAAGCTAGCCTGTGGCTGACAGGCTACAGTAACATCTCATGCCAGCCTTTCAGCAACCACTTTGGTATTTCATTTTGGGGAAGTACACATAAAACATGTAGACAGGTATAGGTCACAAATCTCACATACTTTCTTGCTTCTGAGGATGGTCACAACAGCAGCTTGTTCTTACACCTGACTTGATGCTCACCTTCTTTGCTAGTTGCTGACTCCTGCATAGCGCAGTATGCCAGCTATGGTTTGTTCAACTCAACTCAAAATTGAGTTTTCAAATACATATCCCATCTAAGATTTTCCAGTCTTACCACTGGCTACCTCACAGATTTTATCTGTTTTTGCACTGATCTTCCATTATGCCCTCAACTATTCCCATAAATTTATGCAATGGCTTTGTTTGTAGCTGCTTTCACTAAGAGTAGCCAACTCTCTCCTGTCTGGCTTTTTGTATCTTTGCAAATTTCATGGGAAACTTTCTCAGTATTCTCTATTCTTCACACATAATGTTTGCATATGCACTTGTTAACACATCACCATCACTGTACTCCGTACCTGCCTTGTGTCAACGTTACAAGACATTTTAGACTAGTTCATGTAAAAGACAAAAGTAAAGTTCTACTGACTTTTATATCTAACCTGTTCCCTTCTCCTTGCCTTTTTCCATGCCTTCCTTACTTTATCTAGCCACAGCCAGCCACAAAACATGCACTAGTCTGAAGGTGATGCTATACAGTATTTTACACCGTGCTGCATGTCGTAACAAATGGTAATAAAGTTTACAAAAGACGGAAAGTATGCATGCACCACTTACTGGCAAAGTGTTTGTTAAGATCGTTCTTGCTTGGCACCTGACAGCAGGGAGTTCTTATTGGTTTCACTGCAGTCCAGAAATTGCTCCTGTACCTGATACTGACCTTGCAGAGTAGTAGCATGATGAGACTATGCTACTTAAATCAAGCATGTGTCCATGTTGAAACAGAAAAGAGGAAGATACTGATTACCTCTCCTGTGTTACACAAGTGATTGAAATTTCTTGCTCACTTTGTCAGTTTTTCAAGACCCTGTAAAGATCCTAAATCAAAGTTACTTTGAGATACATGCTGAGAGCACTGGTCCAGTTCTTAGGCATGAATGGATCAAGTGTTTTCTAGTACCCTTCCTCTAATAAAAAGGTAGCCAACAAGTATCAACCAGCAAGCTAAGAAAAATTATGTGGAAGAACTGTGTCATCACAAGGGCTTACTAGCAGTCAGAGGAATACCCCAAAGAGACTCTTCCACGCATTTAAAAGTCCATTTTACCAGTGGTACAATTCTGCACAGAATGGTGATCACACAATCTACTGTGAGATGCCCAGATGGATATCAGGACTTCCGAAGCCTCTGACTGCAGCTCTGCACCCTGTGGCAGAAGCAATGGCCTGAGCAGTGGTCATCCAGAATACAATAGCATATTGTCCCAAGCAGCTACCACTTGCAATCCAGTGCAAGACAAGAAGCAAATGTCTTTCCAAACCAACACTTACCCTTTAAACCTAGTCAGCAAGCCCTTCATCATCCTTAGATGTATTGGTACCTTCCATACAACACCAAAACATCACCTGCAAATATTTAAGCCATTCTCTGGAGGTGCAAATAGAAGGCTGACACATAAGTGACAGTTCTGAGAACACTCAAGAAAAACGGCCATTAAAATATTATGATTCTATGAAGTTTTGTTGTGAATCTTGATATGTACTCTGCCTCCCCAGATTTCCTTCTAGCAAGCACATGCTTGATGTCCTGGGCTTTCAGTCTTGCTTGTAGTTACAAACCTGGACTCTCACCTGTAATTTTTTTTATAGTATATCTTTAGTATAAACATTAAATGCTGTATGTTTAGTCCATCATGTTTCAGCATGGTTATCTTATTGTGCTTTGTATAATCTGACTTTAATGCAGTTAAAATGTCAAATTGTAGTCCAGATGTGTCTATTTCCTGATCTTAACTTAATTCTATATACTTTTTAGTATCTTTCCATCTTTTCTTTCCTATATGTGTTTTATAGAAGGCTTTTCTCTTTTCTATCTTAAACATCATTCTGATAATAGGAATCACTAAGACAAAGAAGCTTTAAGAAAAAGTTAGCATAAAAATTGTAAGGTCAGTTAGTTAATTAAGTAACTTTGTTACTGCCTGTTTAAGCCTAAGCCAATAAGGACTGCTTGTGTGCAAAAGATAAAGATGTATACTGGTTAGGACTACTTTGGTAGTTTGGGAAACTGCCGTGACAGTACTGTGCATACTGCAAGAGAAAGGGTAAAAAGTTCAACCTAGAGGAAGACTTTGAGCCTTCATCTTCACGACCACTGCCAACGACCACCAGGGGACAGATGCATGCTCAAGGAGGAGTGGCAGAGTTCAAAGAAGGACCCCTCCCCTTCTCAGAAATTTTATGAATATGTTTATCTACTAACATAAATTTGTGACAACCTGGACAGAGAACGCGCATGTTAGGAGGAGCGATCCCCCATGCGCCCAGCACTGAATAAACAAATACCTATTTAATAGTTACATTGACTATTGGGTTTCTTTATGATGCTTTTCTCGGCATCAATTCAGTAATGAATACATTGAAAAGGCAGAGCTACATTCAAGCAATAAGCAGCATAATTTTTTGGAACTTTTGTAGACTGTGCTCAGGACACCTTTAAACTGGAATTGGTCAATTCCTTTGCATATTAAGTTTTGCATCTTTCCAATAAATCCAGGAGTTTATGCTAGTCAGTTTAAAGTGCCTCCCAGAAAAAACATAAACCAGCACAAAACCAGAACTGTTCCAGTAGTTCAACACCTGATTGATGGCTGCCTTATCTGTGATAGTACCAATGCTCCCCAACCCCACCCCCCCGGCAAAAAATAAAAAACACAAGGCACTATGAGGTGACAGTGCCATCTCACAGCACATAAAGGCATCTTGTTTAGAAAATTAGTGATTCATTTCCCTTAATCTTTTATTCCACAACAAAATAGGTAGTACGCTACAAACGCTACAAACTTTGTATATATTTAAAGTGATTTGGTTGTTTTTTTCTGCTGATGAGAAAACATTTCATGTACCTTATACAAGAAAATAATCAAATAGGTCTCAAGAACTAACTAGATGAAGGAAGTGCTTCTATCTTTCCTCAGAAAACCACAAACGATAAAAAGACTGACAAGCGTGCTTTCTTTATAGTTGTTTATACGGAAGGGTCATTATCAGAAACACTTGTTTACTGCTTTTTAAATTAGCTTAGCACTTGTGTGAAGGAAGAAACTAGATTTGCACAAGTTCCTCGTACAGCGATTTGTAACTGATATCAGTCGGTTAGATCAGCAATTCGGCTTGCCCGGAAAGGAGTTGGGTAACATCGTCCTCTAAAGGACGAACATGTCCCGGTGCCTATCGTTGCGCAGGAGAAGGGAGCCTTGGGCCGGTTTTGCTCACCGGAGAAGACTGGGACGAAGCGGCGAACGAGATAGATGATGATGAGGGTGGCGGCGAGGCGAGCCGCTGTGGGGGAGCGGCAGAATCAGCTGTCTAGCCCGGTACACTGCCTCTCCTGGGGTTGGGAAGGAGCAAAGCCGGAGAGCTGGCCAGGGGGAGGCTCTGGGGGCGCTGGGAGCTGCTTGCCAACCACACCTGCCTGCGGGGACCCGCCCTGCAGCGGCTCATCGAGGTGAGCCCGCTCCCCAAGGGGCCAGAGCTGCCGACAGTAATGATAAACAAAACCCAGCACTCTTCTATGCGTACATATAACCCTGCCCCAAAGAAGCTGTCCGCGGCGTCGGAAAACCTTTCCGCGCACCGGACAGCTTCCTCCGGGCGGGCTCCGGGCTTCGCTGGGCTGCTCTCCCGGGGCTTCGACCGCTGAAGAGCTACCCCGTCCCTGCGGGACTTCCGCAAGTTGCGGCGTTCGCGAATCTTTCAGCTGTGGCCGAACTTCCGCTGTGTGGTGATTACTCGGGGTTAACTGCAGGTGGGTTAGGTCTGGTTTGCTGCTGAGCTCACTGAGAATGAGTTACAGGCTGTGACACCCTTACAAGTGGTAAATCCTAACGGGAAGACTTTGTCGTGGTAAGTTTAACTGGTATGTCATGACAAGCTTTTTGAGTTTTCTGCTTGTTATTTAAAGGGAAATAGAAAATAATTATAACGCTACTTAAAGTATCCTTAAAAACATGTTTGAGGATGTTTCCAGGATGGTTCTGAAATGTAAAACATGACTGAATGCAACCTTGCTGGAGAACAAGTGGGTGCATTTTATGATACAGATGTGAACAAAGTGGGATAAATGGGTTCTCTCTTTTATCTTCCATCTGAAAAAGAAAACCTACAATATTGAAGTGGCTTCATTATTTATCCAAACTATTGTAGTTCAGTCAATGCTGGTGGTTGAATATGTACTGCTTGCTTTGGTCCCTCTGCCTAAGATAGGTGTTGCCAAACAACAACAGCAAAGCAGGGTTTTTTTCTGTAAAAGCAGCATTTGGTAGTGGCTGAAACCATAGTAGCTGGCCACCAGAGTTCAAACGATCTAAAAAGGACTTATTCAAGTGTCCCAGATAGAAAATCTTGCCAGGAGTTCCAGCAAAGACCTGGCAAACAGACCTGGCTGATGACCTATGTCAGGCTCTCATTCCTTGACCTTCTAATGGTAAGTGCTCTGTGGCATTCAGCAGCATATTGGAGATATTATATAGATTTGGACCCTCATATGCTACCATGGTATCTATTCTTATTACTCATCATTGTGTGTGCTGCATACTGTGCTGGCCATGGGATGTAAGTAGAAGTAAGAAACCAGAGACAGAAGACCAGTCTGGCACTTCATAAAGGCAGGTCTGAGCTGAGCTTTGTTCCTCACTGGGTGTGGAACAGTGAGTGCTTGACCTGCCTCTTGGCCTGAGATTGGAAGGGTTTCACTTGCTGAATGACAGCAATGAGGTGATAGTAGTGGAGAAAAGATAATGATCACACCTGAGTATATATAAAAGTTTTTCTAATATTGTTCTGATAGTGTTTTTCTATATATATCTCTACTAGATACGACAGCTGACCAAATCCCTTTAGACCAGGCATTGTTAGAATAAGCTATGTGAATACTTGGTTGCGATCTGAGCAACCCTAGGTGATGAAGTTAAAAAGTTTTATTTCATTTTATGGAGTGTCTGTGCATACATTTGTACTTTGAAAAAAAAAAACATAGTTTGAGTTTGACTGGCTTTGTGTGCTATTTTTAATAACTTTCAGAGTGAGAAATTAGCCTTAAAAATATAACCTACAGGATTGCTTCTCTCCTATATGCTTCTCTAATTTCCTGTGGAGTAATCACTTGGTATTGGAAGCATGCTTTAAATAATGTGAGGGTTTTTTCTGTGTGGTACTTCGTTATTGCAGTTGATTCCACATAATTTATCAGGCAGTGTCATCACTGGCCCTCTTCAGATAACAAATTTGTATTCTGAATACGCAGCTGATTATTTGCTAATTAAGAAAGACATAAAGAGTGTTTGTGAAAACATAAAGCAGCGTGTGAATTTTAACTGCTTTGACATTACTGGCAATTCCTCATTGTTTTCTTACTGCTCTTTCATACTTCATAATTCCAAACTCTGTTTATTTTAAATGTATAGGGGCCAATGGGGAATAAAATCCCAGTTTGCTAAGCAATGTACAAATGTCATTTTACAACCTGCTTATTGCTCATTTCCTAGTTACCAACCAGGAGTGGGAATCCACTGTCCCAGCCCTTTCACAGATAAAGAGCAATAGAGAGCTCCTCCTTTGAGGAGCTAGCAGGAGAGAAGGGCATGAGGATGGACAGGAGGTAAGGCAAGCAAACCGTACTGTAGTAGCCAGAATGAATTTTCATTCAGTAATTTCTAGGGCTCAGATCCTTTCAGGGGTGAAATAATTTTCTGGTTAACAACAGAAATGACAGAAGGAAATGGGAATAGTGGACCACCAACAGAAACTGAATGTCAAGGGGGGAGTGTTAGCGTGCAACACCAGTAGTGGTAGGTCCCTGCTTCCCACCTTCCCACAG